AATTGTACCCATTTGATTTGTTTAGTTCTAGAATTTCATTCATACTCAGTTCAGGGCTCATTCAATGAAATGTTTTCTGAGATCAGTTCTGTCAGAAGTTATCAATAATTTTAACACGTTCTCTGCCAGCCACGAGTTTTCTCGTAGGTCGAAGTTTGTGTTTAGGCTTCAGCTACGAATTAATTCGTAAAACGTTTTTATTTTACCTACGCCACATACGATCAAACTCGAAGTATTTTCATTTTCTTTGAAGGCTTTGGAGATTAGAAAAAAATACAACAATTTGGCGCAATTCAAGAGATTAATGATAATTAATATAAGTATAATGTAAGTAATTATAAAGTAAATAACATAGGAACTTTAAAAATAATCCAGCAATTTATAATAATCTTTGCGATAATAATTATTGTAAAAATAATCAAAAATTTTATAAGCAACCCCCAACTACGAATAATCTCGTTACGAGTATACTCGTAGTTGGTGCTATCATAAAAAATTTTATCGCAAAAACCGACTACGATATAACTCGTATAATTAATAAAGCAGGGACAGGGAAACGTGGACGGAGTACGGACAGGAAAACATGGAGAACTTCGTCAGTGACTTTTACAGGTATTGCTCCGCCGCACTGCTTTACGCGCTGGGTGTTCGGTTGACCCGCATCAGAGTCCAGCCTAACAAGACATTTACAGAGATATTTTACATTTATTCTAGACTTCGTAATGAATATATGATTACATTAACACTGTATACAATTATTACAATGAAATTAAACAATTAACAAAAGTTGGATTATGGCAAATTAATATAACATAATTACTTCGAACATACATCATACAAACTTTCATTGTACATCGGACATTGTACATTGTACATCACACAAACAATATATTTACATTAGTATATCTAATTACATCGAATTACATTAAACATCTTTTTAAAGAACTAATTAATTAAGAATAGTTTACGCATCTCCTAGTACATTGTCATATTCTTAAGGCAATAATCTTGTTAATACATTTCCTTTCATTTTTATCATATTACAGACAATTGTATCTTTACTGAATTCTTATATTACTTTTGTAAATTAAGGTGTCATAATTACATCAAATATACATTAGTAAATCACATAATACTTACATTTACATTCATATATCTAATTACGTCAAATTATATTAAACATCTTTTTAATTAATGATTTAATTATTACAAGTTTATCCCCTCATCTGCTAATACAATACATATTCTTAATGTAATTATTTAGTAAAAACAATTCATACAATATTTAACCTGTTTCAGCCATTTTCAATATTTCTGAAATCTTACATTATTTGAATTAATAAAGCAATAAAAAATTATCTGAACTCAATATCTTCCCGTAAATACATGTTTTAAATTTTTATTTTACAATTAATTAAAATTTGTTGGCGGGGTGGAACCATTTTTGAAAATGTCACTCGGCAGCGAACATGTTAAAGGATTTCCTTTGACTGAAAATAAAGCCAAAGATATCGTACAAACTGCCAAAGTAGTTGGAAGCGAAGGAATTTCGAGAAGTCAAAGAATTAATAGAGAAATAATGAATGAAGAACTTGATCGTCTTATCATATCAGCCGACAGAATGAAATCGTCAAACTTTAAACTTTGAACAAGCGACACGTCAAAATCCACTGTTAATTTTCTCAAAAATATGGGACAAGAAACGTGTATCAACGCCATACCGTTCACTCATATCCCTACTAAATCTTCTGATGTATAATCCACGGATTTTTGCACTTCTAGACTTTTAAAAAATGAATTGTCCAAATGTCGACCTACATGCGCAATCTTTAAGATTATAAAAAATATTTTGTTCCCCCCTTCAAACCTATGTAAATCTTGAAATTCCCCTCGGACTATGGAACCAAAATCTGAAAACTAAGACTATTACAAATTTTAATTCTGAAAACTAAAACTGTTGAAAAATTTTTTTAAAAAATTGAAAATTAAATAAGTGCGTAGTAAAATATTTAGAAATATGAATTTATTATTCTATGAGAAAATTATTCCTTGGGGAAATTTTACAAAAAAGAACATCATTTATTGTACTGCTCAGTATTCATTAATGTAAAAAATATTATTTTATGTTTCTAATATTCTTGTAATATGCTTTTGAATACTACAGAAAATTTTCAGTTGCTAAAATATTAAAAATGAGTACTATGTGTATATGGACCTGTGAACCTTTGGATTACTACGAATCTATAACCCTACGAATTACTATGGACCTACCGACCTAGGAATACTAGACATAAATATATCTGTTTTAAATATAGAAAATCTTGTTCTTACATATATAAATCACGTTAATTTTTTTAAATTATTATCCTACGATAGTTATAAATTAAAAAAAAAATTAATTTAAGGGTCGATGAAGAAACACATGAAACTAGAATTCTGAAGTTCAGTATTTTACGCCAGAAATACGTAAGTGTATCCAAAATGCCACAAGCTCTGATGAACAAATGGTGTATTATAGTATAAATATATAACCTTCTTTTGAAGAAAACGCAGAAATCAAAAGAATATTGCACAAATGCTTAGTTCCATGTAATAAACTTTTTAATTATCTATCAAGAAAATGCAAATAAATCCTTATTATTATGAAAAGGTACAAAATATGTAAATCATGAGTTTGCAAAAGAAAGAGTAAAGATAAGACATTTGCAACAAAGAAAACGCGTTCGTTTAACGACTCTTAATAGTGATAAAAAGGAAACAAACATAGTATATTCATTACCACTAAAACATGTACCCCTAATCTGTAAATACACTTAATCAATTACTGAGACTTTTACAAGAATGTTTGTGATAGCCATAAAAGGAAAATAATGTATTATGAGATTGTAAGATTGTATAATCTCTGATTTCCACACTAATTCTTTGTTGCTTTATAGCAAAATTGCATAACAGAACGAATTAGCATTTTACATACTATGTTCTTATGAAATTGCTGGGACTGACTGCCGTACTAAAGGGCCTGAGTTCGAATCCCGGAAAAGGCATGAATGTAAATATTTTGGACATCTTTCATAGAAGACAGCGGTAGCCCACTTATTATGTGCCTCCATAAATTAAGTTGTAGAGACATTAGGTATTTTAAAAGCACGAGGGAAAAATGAGCAACGCCTTCGACGAGAATCGAATCACGGACCTCTGTAATACACGCCCAGCGTGCAGACCACTACACCACGAAAGCAGGCTAAGAAGGTGGAAGAATTATCGCAACCTTTGAAAAAGCGACTGGGTCTTTTAGGGGACATAATCGCTAAATCCTGGGCGTGGAGAATCATCATCCACCACCCTTTTAGTTCGGCCGCCGCTATAGAGACATTAATTATGTATTTTTTGGAAGCATGACAAGTGAAAAATGAGCAACGCCTTCGCCGGGAATCGAACCACCTCCTTAGAATACTCGCCCAGCGTGCAGACCACCATACCATAAAGGCACCTAAGAAGGCGGGAGAAATACCTTATAAAGTGACGACCATTTCTGGCTTCAGTAGTGTAGGCCAATGCCTATAATAGTTGGTGGCCTCTTCTGGAGGAAAAATAAACTTATATCATTCATATTATAAATGTATATTTTGGATGTTTCAAAGTGCATTTAATCTGTAAATGAAAAAATCTTGCCATATTAATGGGTGTAGAAGAAGAAGAAATTCCAGTATAACCTTTCAACCGAAACTAAAATGCTTGCAGATTTAAACTGAAATTTCATTTGAAGTTATTAGGACTAACTTCGACGAATCTATTACAAATAAAATATGTCAGAACACGAAATATTAATTTTTTCCTCACTTCATCTGTTGTCATAAAAGAATAAATTATGCCGCTTTGTTAGATGCAAATGAAGCTGTTGCGCATTATATATAAATATCTTTTGTCATATACTATAGACAGACATATTTTTAAAATGATCAAATGATTCCCAGTCATACCAGATACTGAATTCAAAACTATAAAACTTAAAACAATAACTTCAACAATGAAATTTTTAATTTGAAACTGCTCACTCTTACTTGCAAACAGAATCGTGTGCTTAATTATTTATATTGACTCAGATGTGCAACAACAAATATTAAAATTTCATAGGAAGATAAAAATGCGATACTAATTTAAAATCCGCATACTAACTTTTAATTACTAATTCATGACGTCTACAAGTTTAAAACATTCGTAAAACATTTGTTGTCAGGGTTAGTCATTAAAAGGATACTTCAAATGAATGCAGTTGAAAACCTTTATGTAAACGTCATAATAACATAATCACCAATTTTCAAGAGCCAGTTAAAAATCCCTTATATAAGAATTATAAACTATTATATAAGTATTAAAAGGTGGAAATTCCATTAAATTAATTTAGAATTAAATCAAATGCGAATCTTTGTATGATTTGCAGTAAAATATAAGAACTATTTCGATAATTTGTTAATAACAACAGTTATTCACTACATACATTCACCAAATTTCAGTACGTATCTCAAGTTTGATGTAACTTAAAATTTTGTTTCTGCGTGAGATTTAAAAATCATCGGTACTCTTTAATGTTTTTATGATGCCTAAGTTTCCTCACTCCTTCTAATTAAATTAAACATGGCAAATCAAAAAAGTGTTGCTTTAAGTAAAAGTTTCATAATTTATAACATTTCTTAATATCGGTATAACTGATTAATTATTTGTATTTTTAACTGGGCAACGTTTACTCGCTTAGCTTAAGTCATAAACAAGCATATTAAGAATATCTGATTTAAGTTATTTACTTATTTCAAAGTATTCGAGCTGTATAAAAAATGTTTAAACGGTCAGTGGTGTTAATTCATGTTTAATACATTAGTCACTTTAAAAGTTCTATTATATAAGCATAATAAAACATCTCAACAAAGACAATACTCAATATAATAGGAAAGAGTAGTAGTCATGTATTGTGTTTTTATAGAACTTTGAAAATAATAACTTACCGAAATAAACAGGAGAATTTTTCTTTTTTACACTGTCATCTAAGTATGATGTTCCAATGGTGTAGAAAGCTAACGAACCGAATCCTTTTAGAAAATTTCCAAAGAACAAAAGAGATACAGCAGTCAAAGTTGGTGATTTTTCACAAAAATAATCCTTTTCGTTCAGATCACAAACTTCGTACTTAGTTCTGTTTGTTAAATGCCTCAAACCTTCTGCATTATGGTAAAGAACAGGACCATATATGAAATAGGGCACTGCCATAACAAAGCAACTGACGACAGCTACCACCATTCCCAATGCAACAATACGAGGCCTATGAGACTTACCACCAAAATATCCCAGTAACAGACCGAAAAGAATCGGACTTATTTCATCGGAGATCATAATTATACCCGTCACTTTGGTTTCATATGCATATCTTTTCTCAAGCGTTGATAGACAACCCACTAAATAGGTGAAGAAGGCTCCTTGTAGGACACCTAATATACTGTGATTTACCAGAAAGATTTTGGGCGTGCTAAATTTCTGTAACCAGGTGGGATAGAAGGATCCAACTCCACACATAGTTTCCTCATCATTAGGCACATTTTCGGATTGTCCAGGTTCTGTAGTCGATACTGGTTGGAAGTCTATTCTCAGTGAGTTCTTTTTCATATTTGCAACTTTGTTTGACATTTTAATGTTAATATGCGGAACTTAAACAGAAGAAATTACTGCTTTCGACGTTCTTCAGCCACTATGCAGCTCACAGACTGTCTGTAATTTTCACTTTTTATAATAAAAACTTATAGGAATATCATTATTTAAGGTCTGGACAAATTTTCTATATGATTTTATCATATACTGTACGAACGCTATTGATCACTTAAAGAGCTGTTTAAAAAGTGAAAATTCTTTAAAGTGAAACTTCATCAGCTGTTTGAGCACTATTTATATTCCTCCAGTACGTTTTTTAACTTACAATTGCTCGGTGATTCATCCAATTTTAGTTAAACAAGAACGGAGCTGGCGACATCGCATACAAGCAGCTGATACTGTACGATGAGAGACATAAATATTTCTCATCTCTGGAGGCTGCTCAGGAAACTTCTCCTATCTAAAACTTGATAGCTTGATAGCTCGAGATACGTAGTGACTGATCAAAAAGAAATAGAGTTCAAGTGTTAAACAGAGAGCTCGTAAACGTCACGTGATAGGACTTTTATCTTAGTCTTTTATGGTTGTACCTTTAGAAGCAAATACACTGAAAACAAGTTTAGATGATTTCAGATGTATTTTACAATTTTAAAAAAATTGTCCTGACGCTTATTTACGATTTGGAAGGTTGCATTTAGTTTACTGACGGAATATGTATTTCATACTTAACGAATGTATAGATTAAAATATTATTTTCTGTCAATATTATAGCTTATTTTAATTTCCTTTGTCCACGTTATAGAACTAAAACCTGAAATTCATTATTCTTATCCTTTAACAAATTGAAAACTATGTTCTTTCAATACAAATCCTTCTCTTCAATGTTACCTAAATCTGATTTTTAAGTAAAAGTATATTGTTTTAAGTTTTGATAATAAACTTAGTGAGTAATAATAAACTGTATACATATTTTACTTGCAATTACCTTAATTTCATAAAGGGTCTAAAATGTGACTTTTTTAGGTTTAATTGAACATATTAGCTTTATTTTTGTATTTAACATAGGCACAAATGAGTAGAAACATTTTATTTTACCAAGCCATTTATTCTATTTCCAGTATCTAGATATTCTGATTCCATACGCTTAATAATAATTCTGTGCTCCTCTGTGTTGGTTGACTGGTTAATTAATTAAGTAATCAATCAATAAACATCTAATTATGATTAAAAGGAAGTGTAAGTATTAAAACCTTGAATTAAATGAAGCACCGACAACACTAAAAATTAAAAATCTGTTTTAAGCAAAAAAACAATTAAATTATGCAGTTAAAAAAATCTGAGAGTTTTCAGACTTCATATTTCGCTCAGAGGAACTTTTTTTAACGTTTTATTGGTTACCTTTATTTATAAAATATGATGGTCTTCGCACTTAAACGACATAAAATTCAATTCGCCAGCAGTATCACAAAATATTTAAAAACAGCATAGCTTTAGAATTTCCGATAGACAGTCTCACGCGCTGGAGATGAAAAACGTGTTTTTTTTTTTTTTTTTACTGTGTTGCCATTGCTCGCTTTCAAATTGTTGAGTTTGTTAATAAAATATTCGTTAGTGCTTTACAAAATGGGAAATAGATAATAAAACAAATTCGAAATTCAAAATTCGGGCTTCCAAGTGCCTGTGTTCGGACTGAGGATTACATTATTCAAAGTTTGATGGCTCTACATACCGTCCTTTTTTCCCCACAATGCGAGAAACATACTTACATTCATGCGCACTCTCCTTTATTTAACTTCTTTTAAAATAATACAGGGCTATAATGTTTGGTAGCAATAATCTGAAAACTGATTCAGCCTTTTACAGTGATTCAACGCAAATATTCCGTTTCCAGACTTAAATAGCCCTTCTGAGCCAACGCTTTTTGGGCTAAAAAATCCATTCAAAAGGCAAATTCAGGCAGAGGTTTTGTTTCAATGAAAACCCTGCTTCAAAAACGAAACTACAATTAGCATGTTCCCCTATGAAACGCAAGCATTTGTTATTTAAAAAAAAAATAAGAAATAGCATTAAGAAGATTTTGATGCAATGAAAGAATTAAACTTTCGCTGTATAATTTCATGCGCTATTTAAATAAGTTCTTTTTTCCTTAACGGCATATTGTTTGTAAAATACTCCTAAAAGGTCTCTTATCTCTTTTTTTTTTTTTTTTTTTTTTTTTTTTTTTTTTTTTTTTTTTTTTCATAAATGGTTAGATAATTCCAAAGGACACGAGGGCTATCTGCCTAAGTTGAGGGATGCTTTCCTGGAGTAACTGGAGTAACTGGGAACTGTCTCGTATTCTCGTTACACATGAGGGAAACCACGGAAAAAAACCGCGCAGTCAGCCCGTTCTGTTAGATACAAATCCAATAATGACCTCCCAATATCTACCGACCTTAACCCCTCGCTGGTTGATGGAGCCAACTTTGATTAATTCGGTTTTCTAAACTAAACAACTACCTGGTTTAAAAAGCGGTGAATTCAATGAACTCGACAATTGGCAGGTTTCGATAAACGAAAATTAAACCAATTAAAGCTAAAATATAAGAACTGAGCAAAAGGAAGTGTACGTTTAATGAGATTTGTATTAGGTTTCATATGATAAGGAATCTATAGGTTAAATATAAACGCATTTCTTTAAAAAGGAGATTAATTCAAATAACAGTAACATTAATAAAATTACGAAATTTTATTTATAATTTTTTCTATCTCCTTCAGTAAATGACACGTTATACCTGCGTGTCCTGTCAAAACAGATTAACAATTACATTCTTACTTTGCTTTATTTTTTCATTTGCATACGTATCCTACCCCTGACGTCTATTAATGCACTGGCTGAGATCTGTACGCAAGCAGTCTGGGCTCTAGAATATAAAATGTACAAAATAGATTCCTTATGAAAGCCTATACCGTAACACTCCCGACTACTGGGCATCGGTTAATAACAAATACGTCTTCAGAATAAGATCTGATAAGTGATCTTGAAAAAATGATGCAACAGAAATAGAAAATAAGCCATGTTTGATTTGAGAGAATTAAGCTTCTAAAGTGCAAAGAATTGGAAACTTGAATCTAAATTTTTGCAAAATTTATACGCTCAATGATTTTGGAAACATTTTAGTTACTTACATTACGGTAAAATTTTGATTTATTATTTCAGTCCTCTATAATGTAGGATGAGCAATATTGCCTTCGTGAGATTTATTGCATTATTATTTTTTCATCCCAACCGGTATCTGCCGCCCAGCCGGTTACAGTGGTTAGCCTCGCTGACTGCTGTGCCGAAGGTGCCGCTTCGAATCCCGAAGAAGGCATGGATGTTTGTAAATGTATAGTGTCCATGCGGCAGGGAGGGGACACTCTAAATATGTGGCGAGTCGAAAATCCTCTTGAGAGGTTGATGGTAGAATACGAAGTGTGGGAGACCCTCCGGGGGACTCTCCCTTAAAATTGTGGTGGAACTGAGCTAAGTTGCTCTGTCATCTGTAAGGTGCTCAGAGCTGTTGCCAACGACAGACATCTTGCGCTCCTTGCCACGAGAAATTTCGTCGGCTTGGGCTGACTATAGGTCAGACAAGCGAGCTTTAGTCAATAACAACAATAACAATCTGTGATATCTGATCTGCATTTGGAAATTCCAGAATAAACATCGTAAACATATTACCCTCCTTCCCATTAAGCTTTGCTAATACAACCGTTTCAGTTTGATAATTTTTAGGAGAAAGGTATAATAAATTTTAGTGCACGAAGAAATCAGTCATTCGTTGGCAGAGGCTTGTTGTTAATATTATTTGAACAACGAAAATTATCATCTATGAGACCTTACACTTCTTCTCCATTTCTCTAAAGGTAAATTATTCAAAAGTCGACGCACTTTTTATCTTTTACGATGCAGTTGTCAATAGGACTTTAGGTTCTGACAAGTCTCGCAAACTAACCTGATTCTGATATCATCTGGCAATACTGAATGTGTTGTGCTCTTAAGAACTTTAGCAAAAATTCGAAGTTGCTATTAATAATTGCAAAATTTCAGATAGTTTTCAGTTTGCTGTATCTTATGATTTATATTCCTAAGATAATGTACAATTCTTCTTATGACTAATTTAATGCATGAAAATCATGAAAAGGTGTAAAAGCTGTCATATTAATTTTCCTAAGACGGGCCACTTCAGACAGTGACCAGTATTTATGAGAATAAATTTAAATAACAGGATTGAACATCACAGATAATTATATTATTACGACTTTTGTACTCAGGTAATTTTAGTTATGTAATTTTAGTAGAATTATAAGTAAAATTGTTGTATTGTTTCTGTGTAATGTAACGGGAGAAAAATTTTAAGAGTAAACTATGCCGAAAAGAATTAAAAATCGATTCTAACTTTCTGAATGCATGTCTATCTTTTTCTGAGAAACAAATCCTTTGGCTTAGACTTTTGCGAAAAGGAAAATCTCATTGAGTAAACGAGTATCTCGGTAATTTGGCGATGACTCGTCAAAAGTTGCCAATTTGGTGATCATTTGGCGACATTTTGGTCCGGTCTCTTTATCACCATAATATATATAGAAATTGAATAAATGTAATAGACCACTATGTTAGTTGTAACCGTAATTCCACCCTCGTATTATTTTCCAGTATAGACATATCTCGTGGCCGGTTGAAAACTTAAGGCTTGCTTTCAGTTGTTTAGTCAGTCAGTTGGTTGCTGTTGTTGCTATTGTTGCGAGTTCAGCGTAAGATCGGTTTAGCTTTCTCTTTAGATGCGCTTTGCATCGCGTTGCGTTTAATGTTCTTAGTAATTTGAAGAATAATAACTGATTATACTGCGTGATACTGCGAACAGTTGTAGTAATATTTCTGAGGAAAATTCCAGAGTTGTGATGCATTTCTTTTGATAAGAATAAATTTTATTAATCAATTATCAGACTTCTGAATTCAATCTACTATGAACTTGTAAGCACGCAACAATATTCTGTAAAGCGATCACTTCCAGAAAAGGGGAATATCATCTGGAACAATGAATAGTCGTCGTATGGTAATTTCACTATATTTCATGTTAAACTTAATGTACAAGAATAGCCTTTTCATTTTTTTCATTAAAGCAGCCTATAAAATTTATCTGCTTCGCAAATATTGTAGTAAATTAGTTTGCCATTAAACCAGGAATTTTGTTACTTGTTAGTATTATTATAAGGATATTTTAGATGCTTAAATCGAATTTGGTAATGAGTACATTCATTTTTGTAAGTTATATAAAGGTGTAAAACATAAAGTACATTATTTCTACTCATGAAAAAAGATGAAGCAAGATCAAGAAAAAGTCATTTTGCTAAGCAGTTTTGAAGCCTTAAGATGAAAATAAATAAATAAATTATGAAATAAAAACAAGATCTGTAAGCTTTCAGATTTCATATTATAACTAAGCG